TGGGTGCTCAAGTCTGTTAGTCGGCCCTACCTCTCCTCGGGTTCTGCATCTATGGATTCAACCAACCGCAGATCATAAACATAGTACTACACCAACCGTGGTTGGCTGCACCTACAGGTGCGGAACCCACGATTACAGAGGGCCGACTGTACACCTGCAGCCAATTTGAAGTTGGTGTAAAAGTTCACATTTGAAGCACCTAAATAGCTTTGGAAATCAGCAATTTCCTTGGTTTCCTCCGTATAGGATTGATCTTTATGTGAAAGAAGAATCAATAGCAAATACTAAACTATAACAATCTTGTCACCTACATGGAGAATAAGTAATGCACACTGTAATTTGGGAAACTGTTCATGGACTCATGCAGAGAGAATGAAGGCATGATGGTACCTTTGAGCAGTAGGGCCACCAGTGAAGTGAATGAAACACACAAAATTGATAGCATTTTGAGTCTGATCAAGTATTCTGACAGTAGAACAATTGTGGACTATCTCACAAGAATACTCCCAATATTTCCATGGATTGATCAAGAGATTAATGCAAAAGATCAGACTTTTATCCAAGTCATAATGAATATTTCTGGAAGAAGAATCAACACAAAGCAAAGCTGATAATAGTTAAAACTGCCAAGCTAAAATGTGCTATTATCTAAATATTGTTGGAAGAATCAATGCTTTGTGACAAAATATAGACCTGCAAAATTAGACTAGGTAAAATAATGGCCACAAAAGAAAACTCACAGTGGTAGAAGCTATAACCAGTTAAAAAAATTGGTATCAACATAAAGCAATTTTTTGTGGTAAAATGTATATGAAAAAATTGAATCCAATAAAAATTTCAGTAAAATAAAAATGGAACAAATTAGCAACAGCTTAACCGTAACTTCTAGAAAAATTAAGAAATTAAATGGTCTCAACAGAGTTTTCTCCTGAAATAAAGTCTCAACATTCGTCAAGAGCAGTAAAAATTTTACCAAAGATTTATACTCAAAATGTCACAGATAGTGAGGGGTACGATTTGAGTCCAGGTCTGGCTCCTAAGTCGAGAGCTTTTTATATCAATATCATTGTCACTGACAAATAAATGAAAAGCAATAGGATATACTGGAGTACATGAGGAAGCCATTTGGTTTAAAACTAATTTGTCCTGAACTTGTTTTTCCAAAAGGGCCTGACGTGGCCTGTGGAGCATGCATTGTACACCTGCTTTAAACATTTACAATGTCCTGAAGACAAGAATGACACCCTTAAAAATAGGGATGCATCTTCCCCCATAGCAGCATTTCCTTAAGTATAAGCATCTCTTCCTAGAAACTAAGGTTTAACTACCGACCTGCTGTGCTCACCTTGTGACCACTGATCTGCTGTTCTAGCAAGGCAACGTCATGACTGTTGTAAAAGGGATATTCCTGTTACATGTGATGTATGCTCGTTGTTCCCAGATGGTATATAACCACTCTGTACTCCCTACTTCTTTGGTGCCCTTCCTTCCTTAGAGAAAGAAGCCCTGGGCTATAGTCCTCAGACCTGGCTCATAATAAACTTACCCCAATTTTGATTTATAGATTATGGATTCTTTGGGTTGACATCACCTTTAAAAAAATTGAGGTATAAAAGTGAGATCATGCAGCCCTGATTTCAGACAAATGAGATAACATATTTCATTACTTAGTCAAATCAGATAAAGTTAAATATTTTGTAAAATTCAATACATATGGAGCCTTTCTGGAAATAATGAGGTAAAGACCTAAATTAATCTTATTAATCATGTTTTTGAAAAATTATAACATTCCATAGATGCGGCAGGAGGAAGGAAGGTATTGTCTATATTCTACTTTATATCTCAATCAGAAAGGGGTATATATGATGTCATCTAAAATATCTTGCATTGTTAAAGACTTTCTAAGCAAGGCTGTGTAAAATGGTATCTCTAGGAATCACTTCCTCCCCTGTGTGGGTCCAGGTTTCTCTATTCTCGTTATTTTTCCAGTCACCTAATGTCGATGGCTTGTTTTATATATTCTAGAAATTCCTCAATTTCTAGCCCACTGATGGCATCTTTCAAATATATAGAATTCTTCTGTCATTTCAACAAGATTTAGGGAAGGAGCATAGTTCAAGTTCATCAACTTGAACTATGAACATTAAGCAAATAATAGCTTGACTAAGTGGTGATTACAGGAAAATAAAGATCTACTATAAACATTTAAAGGAAGCAAACATGTATGAAAGAAATCCATCACTGAAGTAGGACTAACAGCAGAGAAGCGAAATAAACTCCAACCTACTAGGAAATGTACAACAGCAGACTTTAGCAGATAATGGTAAATAATTAGGAGGAAATTTTAATCCTTTAAGAAATTTGGGACTAAAACGAGTACCATCCAAAAACCATTGCATCCTGTGCCCAGTACACAGCAGGCACTTAATAATTATTTATTAACTGAATAGATGACATTCTCAGAAATACCCTGGGATCTAATCTAAGCTCAAATATCAAATACAGTCGTGAACAATCCAATTTATAAAACTAGAAGCTCTTTCTAAAGCTAGAGCTTATCTAACTGAAACATCTTTTCAATAGGCTCATTCCAACCAACCTGCAACTCCAGCTATCTCTTATTGCAAGAATCCTTCAACATTTGCTAAAAAGGTGGTTCTTTTTAATTTTCAGTATCTCACTTGATCTAAATGAAACCTGATAATTTTATATTAGAGGTTAAGCAGAGGTTAACCTTGATGCTGGAAGGGTAAGAGTTTAATTTAAGTAAGTGGCAAATGCTGATTAATTTTCCTAAGACCACCAAAGGAGAGAAAAAACTTTGCCTTTTTTTTTCTGGTAGGGCCGATTTTTCAGAAAATAAAAGATTACAGCTTTTGCAAAGAGGGTTTTTCTTGCTTTCAGAAAAGTTCCTTCAAACTTTAATTTGAATACAAATAACCTGAGGATCTTGTTAAATGCAGATTTGATTAGGCAGGTCTGGGATCATCCTGAAAGTGCACTTGCGGGGGGGGGGGGGGGGGGGAGGCTTGAGCCAAAGAGATTTTAATTAACTGATTTTCAAATGAAGAGAAAACTTGAAGCAAAATATGCATTTCTATGAAAGAAATCTAAACCTATTTATAACCTTGACAAATTTTTATTCTTATTGCTGAGACAGAAAAGAAAAAAATCTACAATTTGAAAATCTTTCCTCTACCCCAGAAACCTAGCTTTTCTTTTTAATTGAGGTAAGTGGTTTATAACACTATATACATTTCAGGTGTACATGGTTATATTTCGATTTCTGTGTACACAACATCATATTCACCACCCAAAGACTAATTACCATCCATCACCATACACACGTGCCCTATTACCCCCTTTCGCCCACCTCCCCCTCCCCTTCCCTTTCTGGTAACCAGCAATCTAATCTCTGTATCATCTATGAATGTACAATTCTTACAGCTCCCAGATGCTGCTGCTGGCCTGTACACCTTTGCGTAGCAAAGTTACAAACTCTCAACCATCTTAGGTCACCTAATTCTCGTTTCCAACTTTAAAGATTTGATCCAAGTGTGCTTGTTGTTTTGTAACGAAAGTTTCCAGAAAACATTAGGCCTGCTAATTTCCCTCACTTTCGAACGGGAAGAAACGTAATTCAGAACTGCAGCTCCAGCCTTCACACTTGCTTGTCCTAAGGCAGCTTTGGGAACCAAGGTACGCCTCTGCGACCCCAGTCCCGGCGTCCTCGGCGCCGGCTCCGGGGCTGCAGTAAAAGAGGACGGCGGGGATGCCCGGCTGCTTCGGCCTCCGACGCGGACCCTCTCCAGACGCGCTGGCCCGCCCCCTGCGCGCGGCCGCCGATTGGCGGGAGGGCGCCGGGCGTGACGTCAGGCCCCGCCCCGCCGCCCCGCCGGCCCCGCCCCGCGGGGTGGCCTGGCAGTTTGGTCTGGAGCAGCTGAAACCGGTTTGAGCGGAGCCGCTTCCTGCTGCTGGGCGCCGCCGCGGGCCGCCTCGGGGAGCGCTGG